CTCGCTCGTCTCGCCGTGCGCCTCTTCGAGCCGCGGCAGATCTGGGCAGCGATGTCTTGGGCGCCGAGCGGGCCGCCATCGGCTCTTGGAACGCTCGGGCCTTGCTTCGCGATCAGTTGATGGCCTTTGCGCGGAAAGCAGGCGCGCTTCGGCCCCTGCTCGACGCGTCCACAATCTTTACATCGCAAGAGGTCCGCGGACCAGGCGATACCGTCTCGGACTTATTCGGGCGGCGTGGCTGCGATTTTGAATGTTTGCATGCGCCTCCTGCTAACGTGGCGCATGCTGGCGGGGTGCGCACCTAGTCCTGAGGGCTGCGATGGGGCCCCTGCGCGTCACGTCCCAGGCCTTCGCCAGAGGCAGAGCGCCGCCGCTCGAGATCGCCCGCGCGTCGTCGGGCTTCCGCTGGTTCCGCTGGATCGTCCGCGACCGCGACTCGAAGAGCAGTGACTTCGCCGGGATCCGCCCGGCCATCCTCGCGCAGGTGGCCGCTGTCAGGTCGGCGCCCTTTGCCGGTCCGACCGCTTCTCTGATCGCTTTGAGCTTGCTGGCACGGCCTGGCAGGGCGCCCCGGGAGGCGCGGCAGGGCTGGGGGGGCCTCTGCCAAGCGCGTCCAGGGGGGGCCCAAGCTCCATATCCCGTGTTTTTGGTTGGGGGGGGGGCTTTTTTCCCGCCCCCCCGGTTTATGATAACTCCGACGCTGCGGCGCCGATCATGAGAACCTATTCAGCTTGCCCCATCGCCTTTTTCTTCTGCGATGCACCCTGCAAACATCGGGGGCGGAAAAGAGGGGGGTGATGACCTGGGGGGGGGGTATCGTGGCGGGGGCCATGATATTTCCCCAGATTTTATGGCGCCTCCTCTTCTTTCGTTGCGTCCCTGGCCCCCCCGCTGGGCCGCGCAGGTGCCGCCGGTCATGATTTGCACCCACCCCTCTTGGACCCCCCCCCTTGGCCGCTCCCGAAAACAGGGGGCGCAAACCGGGGCCCCGGCGGCGAGTCGTAGAGCTTTTCGGCCACGCTTGAAGCTTGCGGCCCGCTCGCCGCCAGAGCCCGTCGGCCCCGGCGGCGCGTCGCAGAGCCTTTCTGTCATGCTTGAACCTTGCGGCCCGCTCGCAGTCAGAGCCCGTCGGCCCCGGCGGCGCGTCGCAGAGCCTTCTGGCCCCGAGTGAACCTTGCGGTCCGCTCGCCGCCAGAGCCTTTCGGCCCCAGCGACGAGCCGCAGAGCCTATCGGCCCCGCGTGAACCTTGAGTTCCGCTCGCCGCTAGAGCCGTTCGGCCCCTGCGGCGGATCGCAGAGCCTTTCGGCCCTGCGCGCCTCGGTCGCCCTTGTGTCCCGCACTATTGCGGAACCGCGGGGTGTTTGCCGACTACCAGCTCGGCATAGAACGCTTGGATTGCCAACGCGACGTGCAAGCCCCCTAGGGAGGGGTGGCCCCTGAGGGCTCTGGCCTGACACTTCCTCGTGTTTCACTTCCAGACGAGGCTCCCGCCTTATGCTTCCTCCGTATTCAGGCTTCAGGAGCCCAAAAGTGATAGCCGTTACAGGAGGCCGATGATCCGCTCCGGATTCGAACATGGAGTGCGGGCCCCATACGGAGGGGGCTCCCGCCTGCGACTTCCTCGCAATTCGCTCACAGACGAGGCTCCCGCCTGATACTTCCTCCAGATTCAGGCCTCAGGAACCCAAAAGTGACGACAGTTATAGGAGGCCGATGACCCGCCTCGGATTCGAACGTGAAGTGCGGGCCCCATAGAGAGGGGGCTCCCGCCTGAGACTTCCTCGGAATTCACTCGCTCACAGACGAGGCTCCCGCCTGATACGTCCTCCAGATTCAGGCTTCAGGAGCCCAAAAGTGACGACAGTTATATGAGGCCGATGACCCGCCGCGGATTCGAACGTGAAGTGCGGGCCCCATAGAGAGGGGGCCCCCGCCTGAGACTTCCTCGGAATTCACTCACAGACGAGGCTCCCGCCTCATACTCCCTCCATATTCAGGCTTCAGGAGCCCCAAAGTGACGACCGTTACAGGAGGTCGATATCCTGCCTCGGATTCGAACATGAATCGCTGGCCCCATAGAGAGGGGGCTCCCGCCAGAGACTTCCTCGCACTTCGCTCGCAGACGAGGCTCCCGCCCGAGACGACACACAGGCGAGTGATGATCATGATGATGTGAGTGATGATGACGATGGAGATGATGATGAGGCCACTTGTGATGATGGTGTGTGAGTAATTGAGTGCGTGATAGTGCGATCGTGTGTGGTGACTGTGTGGCTGATGCTGATGGGGGATTTAATGTGAGTGACTGATTGCGTAATAGAGTGATCGTGTGTGGCGAGAGTGTGGCAGTTGGTGATGGTGCGAATGATTGAGCAAGTGAGTGTGCGATGGGAGAAGAAGCTGAAGGTGTTATTATGATGATGGTGCGTCAATGATTGAGCGAGTGAGCGTGCGAAGGCAGAAAAGGAGTGGGGGTGAGGTGACCGGACTGCGAAGGGT